GGGCGGCCCGGACGGCCACTATGAGATGCTGGGCACCTGCCGTATGGTGTGCGACCCCTACCCCGCGCGAGGCCCCGGCGCCGGCGCGCGGCCCGACGGCAGCGACGCCCTGAGTGAGCAGAGCGGCGCTCCCCCGCCCTCCACGCTGGTGCAGGGCCCCCAGGGGAAGCCGGGCCGCACGGGCAAGCCGGGTCCCCCCGGGCCTCCCGGGGACCCTGGTCCTCCGGGTCCGGTGGGGCCGCCCGGGGAGAAAGGTGAGCCAGGCAAGCCGGGCCCTCCAGGGCTGCCAGGCGCAGGGGGCAGCGGCGCCATCAGCACGGCCACCTACACCACAGTGCCACGAGTGGCCTTCTACGCCGGCCTCAAGAACCCTCACGAGGGTTACGAGGTGCTGAAGTTTGACGACGTGGTCACCAACCTAGGCAACAACTACGATGCGGCCAGCGGCAAGTTTACGTGCAACATTCCCGGCACCTACTTTTTCACCTACCATGTCCTCATGCGCGGCGGCGACGGCACCAGTATGTGGGCGGACCTCTGCAAGAACGGTCAGGTGGGCCAGAAAGGGGCTTGGGGCTGGCCTGGGGGCAGGACATCCAGTGTGCGACCCTTACCCCGGGGCAAATCCGTACCTGATCAGAGTGGACGGGCGCTTCAGGCAGTTGCATGTGGAGACCCTAAAGCGACCCTCTTAGGCATTATTTGAGGGAATGGTCGGAACCGGGGGCAACCCTGACTCCTCGGTTTTTGGATTCCGGTTTTAAGTCAGAAGCTGCTGGGCACCCGCATCATGGAAATGCGGGTGATAAACCCAACTAGTCAGATTACTAGGCTCTCGGATGCGCAGCTTGGCCTTTGGGAAGCCGATTCAGACCCATACCTACTGAGGACTGAGACTCCGGCTGACACCAACGGGAGATAAGGGAAGAGCAAAGACAGGCTCTGGGGCACAGCATAGGGAGAAGCAACCTCCACGCCCGCCAGCGTTTAGGCGCGCAGCTATGCGCACAGGCAGAGAAAGCGGGCTCCCGGAAATGTTCTGGGCACAAAGGCAGAGGGATCTGGCTCTCAGAGCCTTAGCTGCAGTACATTCATTCCCGCCCTCGGGAAGAGACCCTTGGGCTAACCTGACACCCTTTGCAAAATCCTGGATTGCGCGGTTCCTTCCCACCTTGCCAGAGTTACCCAATGCAAGAAGACGGCCTCTGGGGAAAGTTTTTCCTCCCGAGGCTTGGCGAGATGGAAACTCCCCTTTTGGTCTCTCAGGTCCAATTCTCTTGGCTCCTAGAATGTGGGGAGGAATCTTCTTGGTTCCCTTCAGTGCCCGGGGAGTCTGGTACCAGGACCTTGTGTGCCTAGTCCTCTCCTTGGAGCCACCCAACCTCCGCCCAATCCTGCCCAGGGAGAAGACCTTTCCCAGCTCCTAGAACACCACCTCCCTTCCCAGTGCTCCCTGCTCTTGGTGGCTTGAGGCTCTGGGGGGCGTGGTTAAGCCAGCATTCTTTAGGAAGAAGGGGACCCCTAGTCTGTACTAAAGCTAAACTAGTAGGAATTGGGAATTTCCTGCAATTGAGACCCAAGATCTTGTTGGAATTCTCTCAAAGCAGACCCAAGATCTTGTTGGAATTCTCTCTTTGCAGATCCTAAGGTCTCTCTGCTGACCTTAGGATCTGCAAAGCTTGAGGATCTGGGAAGGGGGGGAAGTCCACCTAAAACCTGTCTGGTGCTTAGAAGGCTGGCCCCTTTTTTCTTTCCCCTGCCTGCCCCTCCTTTCTCTAGTTTCTGCCTCTCTCTCTCTCTCTCTCTCTCTCTCTCTCTCTCTCTCTGTCTCCTGTCTGTCTCTTTCCTGTGTTTGCCATTCCTCTTTCTGCAGCCTTTTCCCCCTGAGTCTAACCCTCCTTTTGCCTATTGCTTATGTCTCTCCCTCCCATTTGTGTCTATCAGGCTTTCCAGTGTCTCTCCTCTTTGTCCTTGGTTCCTGACCAAATGGGAGGCCCCAGTATCTAGTAAAGGCTCATTCTGCAGATATCCCCATGATTTCCCTTATTAATCACCAATATAAGGGATGCAGCAATGTCACCTTCATTGATGGAATTTCTCCCAAAGAAAGTTTGGGCTGTCAGGAAGCTGAATTTTCAGGAGGCTGGGGGCTTGCCTGGATAGGGAAATAGTCCCTAGGCCACTGCACTACCTAGACCCTGCACCACCTCAGGAGTCATTAATGGAACCCCAGGAGGTGAGAGAAGGCCCAAAAGATAGTGTGTGCTTGGAGTGGTACCACTTGCTTCAGTCACTTGGAGGTGGTCCCCAAAGCCCCTTCTTTCCCCTCCAGCAGGGGCAGGATGTTGGCAGAGCCTCATGAAGGGGGCTCATGGTTGGGGAACCACAGGCTACTTACTAGAAAAAAGAAGGTGACTTTAACTAGGGGTTTCAAACACCCAATACTTCAACAGCTATCAGACATCCTTCTCCTACAAAACAAGAGGAAACAATGGGACCTACAGCCCCCTCTCCCATGTCCTTCATGACTTTTTCCACTGTGCCCAAGAGGCTCCTTTAATCTCACAGTCTGTTCCACATGTTAGTTTTGAGACTTTACTAGGATCCAGGTTTGGGGCCGGGTACCAGGGGTTTGATCCACTTGTACTCTAGGGCCTCATGCTATGCAGGGGGGCAGTAGTAGTCATAAAATAGCACACCCTAATGATTTCTGTGTTAAAGGTGGGCTGGGAACCCAACTGGTGACTCCTGTTCTCAAATGAGTCCGTTGAGAGGAGTGATTCTGTGATACCTATCCTGTCTCAGACCAACCTGGTAGGGAGAGAGGATGGTGAATCTGGGTTCCCCAGGTAAGGAAACACAACTAGGGAGAAAATAAAAGGTCAAATGCAGGGAAAGGCTGACTTAGAGGTGGATTGGTACATTTAAGTAATCAGAGAAAAATAACGACAGGGCTACGCAATGGATGACAACAGAAGAAAGGAGCTTGGATCTCCCTCTCTGTCCTCAGGACCAGGGGCTACCCTGAGCTCTATGCTTTTCTTTCCTGGCTTCTTGCCTAAGAGAAGCTTCCAGAATTTCTTTGGGAAAGCAGAGCCAAATCTGGACTCTGGCCCTTCCCCAGGCAAGATGAGTTGGAGCTAGGAGTGAGGTTGCCACCTTTGTGCCCTTTCCTGGTCCACTGGTTTCTGCTCGACCCGATAGTCATTACAACTTAAGAAACCCGAGGAAAGGACTCTAGGTCAGGAGCAGTGCCCTGCGTGAATGGTGCTGCCTGCAGCTGCCTCCCAGCTCCACAGGTCAGACAGGCCAGGGAGGACACAAAATTGATAAACTGGGCTAAGATCGGGGGACTGTATGGAACATGCCAGGCCTGTGGTCAGGGTGATACTCATCCAGGGAAGAGGGCCATGAGCAGGTGAGTATTACAAATGGGCCAGAGCTTGGCTAGCAGAGTCTACTGAGGTGAAAAGAAGTGGCATATATACACTAAGGGCTGCAGGATAAAGACCGAACTGAAAATCAGCCTCTTACCAGGTGGCAGGAAAGGGCTCCCAACTATCCTCTCTGGTTCTACTATATTTCCCAGCACAGAGCACAGTGCCTGGCACAGAAGGAACACAATGTGAAAGGTGCCCCTTATGGCCAGGGTGGCTGCCTGTGGGAGCCACACCTGCACATCCAAGACAGGGACACATGTCTTGGATTACCCCCCTCCCTGTCCTGCCACTGCCTCAGTTTCCTCTCCAGGTAGTCTCCGAGGTAGTCATTCTACAGTGTCCCTTGGTGACAAGGCACAGACTTGCTTTCCTGCTTCCATGGCAATTTCAGTTCCCCAGTTCCCCTTGGCCCTGAGGAGGAGCTGGATGCTTTAGCTGTTTTCAGTCTTGGGCAGAGAACCAGGACCCCTGGGTTCCAGTCCAGGATCCCCCACCATCTAAGGATGGAAGGGCATAAATTCTCTGCCTCCATGGATAATTAGGATAATTACAGCAACAATCATGGTGATGAATAAATAATAAACATAAGCAAAACAGTTCTGATGCCTGTCACATCACCAGGAGATTCCTGATGACAGATGACTGTATTCTAATGGATTTTGCTATTAAGGAGCACACTGTTTTAATGAGTTAAGGCTAAATTAATCTGGGTAATAAAAATAATTGTTATTAGTAGTAATTTATTAGCAAAGATAATGAAATGCATGTGTAATAATAAATACTACCAGGATTAGGGCCCAGGGAACAATACAGAAGTTGGCTGCTTGCTTTCAGCTCTTCCCTAGTAGCTCAAAACCCCATCAAAATTTCATTTTTTCTTTCTTCAGCATCAAAAGCCTTTTTAAAAAGTGGATGTGGTGAGATGGGATCTTCTCATCCATTTTTCCAAACAGAGAAACTGGGCTCCTGAACAGACAGCATCCCCCTTCATTTAATTTTCTCCCACCTTTAGCCAGCCCAGGAGTTTTCCCAGCTAAGTGCTCCAAACAGTTCCTTTCCAGATTGGAGAAGGGGTTGAGGGCAGAGAAGAAGCTGGAGGGATCTGGGCTTTAAGTGGAGGGTTGCTTGATAGTATGTGGGGCCCTCTTCATCCATTACTGCTGAGTCAGCAGCTCTTGTGGCTGACCTACAGTTCTGCCTCCAGCCCAGGAAAGAGGAAAAGACTCTCCCCTAATTTGGCTTGTTTCCACCAAGCCATCTGTCCAGGTGGGCAGGAGGGGGAGCTGCCTCTGGAAGAGGCAGGATAGCAAACGGCCCAGTCAATGCAGCCTCCCCTACCACAGTCACAATCCAGGAGATGGCTCTTCTCTTCCTGTTCTATACCCAGGGTATCCTGGGAAGGCCCAGATCCTAACACTCCTATTGCCACAACTGTTGGAGAAGAATGTCTGGAGGTTATTCAGCTGCCACCATATGCCCCCAATATCTTATGCTTATAGTCAGAACTGCCAAAAATGGCAGCAGACTTCAAGCCCAGATGCAGGTTCCCTCTGACCCATTGTCCTATCTGTCCCTCCTCATCCCCCTGCATAATTAGGACCAGCAAGGATATCAGATCAAACTGAGGATTGCAGAGGGATATAAGGCCCTGGCTTCCTTCTTTCCACTTCCTCTCTGGGGTAAGACAGGAGGAGCTGGAAGTTCTCTTTGGCCAGGGTTATAGTCAAATAGATACAGTGCACCTCCTTGAAGACTGGGGCCTAGGCCCAGTCAAAGCCTTCAGAGGGGAAAGAATTGCCAGCACTTTATTTTACTGCTCCAGTGTGGAAAGTTCTGGAATGAGCTTCAGACAAGGAGTCTAAAGACCTGGTTCTGGTTCTGGTTCTGGAATGTTTTTTTATTAGCAACCTGTATTGGTCCAGCCACATGACTTATAGGGCCACGATGCATCCTTTTGTCCATCCACTGATATAAGAGAAGTGGGTGTGATTGAAATGTGAGGTACCATCATTATTAAACCAGAGTGAAAGAAATAATAGGAGAAAGGGAAGGCCCCCTGTTCCTTACGGGTCCAGAACTGCCTTCTCTGCAAGGAAGGATTTCCAGGTTGGAACATCCTAGAAGTACTGAAGTTCTAGGCAGCCCAGATGGTAAGATCTAGAGAAGTTAAGGAGGAGGGCACCAAGTTGAGATCCAGATGAGACCTAATGTAGAATCCAGGGCTCCTCTATTTCCATCTCTCAAAATTGTTATGTGTGATTAGAAGGGCATGGGTGGGGTGACAGGGAGAAGCAGGCCAAACTACAAGGCCCAGCTTTAGGGCCTCCAGATCCTTGCCTTGTGGCTGCCTCACCTCCCTACCCTCTCCTGCCACCCCACCCCCATCCCCACAGGTGAGGGCCAGCGCCATTGCCCAGGATGCAGACCAGAACTATGACTACGCCAGCAACAGCGTGATCCTGCACCTGGACGCGGGTGATGAGGTCTTCATCAAGCTGGATGGAGGCAAAGCGCATGGAGGCAACAGCAACAAATACAGCACTTTCTCCGGCTTCATCATCTACTCTGATTGAGCTCCCAGCATCCCTCTCCATCTTCTGTCCAACCCTTGGGCTTCCCTCCCAGGAGCGGCAGACAAAACCCATTCCCTACCGACCCCTTAGCTGCCTGGCCCAGGCTGCCAACCCTCCCTGGCTGTGATTCCCCACTCTCACCACACCCAGGCCATAGTTAGGCCTTCCCACAGCAGAGCCGCAGAGCACTCAGTTCTGTCCACAGGAGGCAGTTTGACTGCAGGGCCTCAGCCTGCAATGTATATTTGCACAGTAGGACTGTTTACTGCCCACCCTGGCCTTCCAGCCAGTCTCAGCCTGGGAGGAAATTGGCAGAGTTGCTTCCTGTGCTGGAATGAGCTTCCCTCCAGCTCTGGGTTGGCCCTGCCTGGGGGAGGGGCAGGTTGGGGGCTGGATGGTTTCCCAGCACCCCTAAAGCCCTAGCCTGTCTGCACCCAGTCTGACCAAAGCTATAATAAAAATATTATTTCCACCCCATGAGGGTTTCAGTTTATGCCCTGGGGAGGGCTGCAGGAAAGCACCATGGACCTTGGTCTGGTGGAAGCTTTGGGGAGGATGGACAACCAGATGCCAGTCAGAGCTGCTGGAGGAGGAGAGGTGTCAAAGGGCCTGATGCCCACTGCAGCCCATGTGGGCCTGGATGGCTGAAATGGGAAGCAGCCCATATGTCGTCATCTTCCCTGGTGGATAAGTTCCATTTTGCCTTGCTGATAGTGGCACCAGCATTCCCAAGGCACAGGCAGTCTTTAAACTGGGAGACCTAGGTTCTCTTTCCTGTAACACTGTGTATTATCCTGGTCAAGTCACTCCCCTCAGACTCAATTCTGGGTTAGTGACAGCCATGGTGAAGGAATAAGCTTTGCACTAAAGACTGGTTGACCTTGGTCCAAGCAAGTCACTTCTGGGCCTCAGTTTTCTCATCAGTAATATGTAGGTAAGAAGACCTATTCCACTTAATTGAGAATTGAAGAGGTATAACTTATGTGCTTAATAAACAGCTCTTATTATTTATACATCACTTTAACATTTGCAAAATGCTTTTATGTATGTCATTTCACTCAAGTTTCCCAAATGGCCAGGAGGTTGGATGGGTAGATTTCCTTCCAGGGAAGTTAAAGAGCTTGCTTAATGTGATATAGTTGCTAAGTTCTGTGATTGCCCTTGAATCCAAGACTAAGTCTCAGCCTACCACTGCCTCCCTCACCTCTTGTAACTAGGGGATCATGACAGTCACACAATTAGGGCATTCCTAAATAATATAGGTTGATATTTGCAGAGCACCCACTATATGACAGACTCTATGTAAGCACTTTATATTTTTTCACAGATATGTAGTGGGGGGTAGCAGATTTATGGGAAATGCTCTTATGCTCTTTACCACAATGCTATTTTATTCATTTTAAGAATTTCTATATGCATTTATTTTTTTAATTCTTTTTTAAAAAAATTTTTTTTTAGAAGTAGTTGGACACAATACCTCATCCCATTCACTTATTTTTACGTGGTGCTGAGGATCGAACCCAGGGCCTCGCAAGTGCTAGATGAGTGTTCTACCGCTGAGCCACAATCCCAGCCCTCTATATACATTTATTTTGAGGCATATATTTCTATGTGTATTTATTGCTCTTTGACCCAAATTGGTCTCAAATTCCTGGGCTTAATTGATCCTCTCGCATAGCATACCATACTGCATCTGGCTGTTTTATCCATTTTAGATGAGGAAACTGAGGTTCAGAGAGGTTATGCAACTTGCCAAGATCACAGAGCTAGGAGAAGGCAAATGCCAATATTTGAACCACACACTGTCTTGCCCAGGACACCAGGTTTCATGAAGAGTTGGTATCTCCAAAGCAAAACTGAAGCTAGCATTGCATAACCCCAGCCCTGCCCTTCCATTCCCACCCCAGCCTTGCCGAAACCTGATGCATTTCTAAGCATCTGCCCTGGGAAGCAGCCAGGGGATGAGGCTCTTAGAGAATCCCAAGGCTCTACATTGAGGAAAGGTCCCATCTGGCTTCCCAGTCTGGCTCAGCTGGAGAAACAGGAAGGAGGGGAGGCCTTCCTCCTGGCTAGGCCCCATGTATTGGACCCTTGTCATGGCTGGCAGACTTGAATGACTTTCTTTATCCTCCCTTCTCTCCTCTACTTCCCCCCACTGCCAGCTGTGGCCATTTAATAAAATTAGCTTAATGCTTGTTCCTTCCCTGTGGGGTCTGGAGATTGAAATCTGCGGGTCCCCTCAAACCCAATAAAACCCCTGGCAGGTCTGGCTGAAACTAGAGTCTCTGTGGGAAGAGTGATTAGATTAGAAGACACTCCTCCTGCCCCCAGTGCTGCCCACAGCTCCCTGTGATTCTTTATAGCCTCATTGGCCTGGAATTACGCAGCTGTCACACCTGGGAGCCAGCCTCCACACCTGGGGGCTCCCCACCCTAGCCCCAGAGGCCACAGGGACTGATCCAAGACCTCTGTTATACAATAAAAAGCATGTTAATCATTTCTGTAGTGAGTGCCTGCCTAGCTGGCTGGCTGACTTGCTTTTCTTTCTGGTGACTTGACAATCTTGTCATTTTGAGAGGTAAGACTAAAATCTGCATTTTGCAGATGAGGAAATCATAGTCTGAAGAAAATTTGTGACTTGCCCATGTTCGGGCAGAAAGTTTGTGGCGCAGCTGAGACTGGACTGAAGCCAAGGACTTTATACCTTTCTACAGGGCTCTAGGAGGGTCCTGCAGTGCCAGCTGCCAGCTGCTTGTCACTTGGGCAACATTCCTGCTGCAGAAGAGCCTTCTGGGGGAGTGTCTCCCCCATCAAATTGCAACTCCCTAAGGGCAAAGTGGTTTTTTCCCTCAGACATGATATACCTGAGGGCAGGGACTGTCTCCACCATCAGACTGGGAAGCTTTCTGAAGGCAAGACTTGCATCTCCTCCATCAGAGTAGGAGGCCTCAAAGACAAAGACTGTATTCTCCTCATGTCGTCAGCTCCTCGAGGGTGGGATGTGTGTCTCCCCTGTGGTGGGCAGTGCAGAGGAGTCCACTACTGGCTCCTCTGTTAAATGAGGCCTTTCTGAGATAAGGGGACAATCTCCACCTTGAAGCCCTCAGGTTCTCTGAAGGAAAGACTGTCTCTTTATCCAACTGGAGATTCTGTGAGAGCAGAAGCCATGTCTCCACCCCAGTCTCAGTCAGGGGCTTTTCTGGCACCAGAATATTCCAGGGGACAGAGCTGAGTGAGTAGTCAGAATGGCAGATTCACAATGGAGGAAGGAAATAAGAAGATTCCCCAGGCTGCTTCCCATTTAGAAAGATGGCTGACTAATTGGTGAATAATATCCCTTCCAGGAGGGGTGTGAGGACAGAGGTGTCCCTGGAGCTCACCCACACAAGGAATGGCAGGCCAGCCTGTGCCCAGCCTGTGCCAGCCCTAGGGGCTGGTGCTGCCCTGGTTTCTGGGGTTATGGGGACCAGAGGGGGCAGTGGGGCCCACCGCTGGGGGCTGCCCTAATTGGATGACTTTGCAGGAAGGCCAGGCAGGTGTGCTCGGCACTCTGCTTCAGCTTCCTACCAACACATCTGCCATGGCAAGGTCTAGGGGTTAATTGGCTCCCGCCTCACTCCTGGTAACCGATATTTCATTTACTGCTCGGAGGGGAGCTGCCCAGAGAATCAATCCTGGACAAGTGTCCAGGAGACAGGGGATCTAGGCAGGCACAAGAGCTGTTTCCAGGAGGAGTTCTGAGCCCCAGAAGAGGAGGCAAGAGGCAAAAACCAGGAGAAGGCAGCCAATTGTTTAAAGCTATTGTGGGCCTCACCAGAGTTCTGCTGACCCTGGCAACAGCTCTAGGACTCCCGAGGACTGGGAGAAAGCCCTGCGGGTCCTGCGGCTTTGTTACCCCACCTAGATGTGTTGTTTTCCCTGCCCCCATTCCTTCTGCACTTATTTATGTGGGTGCCCCCCTCCCCATAAAGCTGTAACAGGTTAGATGTTGTTAATAAGGTTATTTTCACAAGTGGTGAAGGTATATTTGAAAAGCGGAATTGGAGGTGTGAGTTCCTCACTCCCTTCCAGGTAACAAACCTTAAAATCCTACAAATGAAGTGATAATAAAGTGGAAGTGAAAAATCTATACATGTTTGGAACCGAAAGGGAGTGGAAGGGTCCCTGCGTGGTGGCAGCTGGGACTGGAGGAAAGAGACCAAAGAGCTACCCACCTCCCATGCTTTTCATATACTGAGCCCCATTCGCCTTATCTGCCAAAATTGAGAATCAAAGTTATAGGATGGGCAACTCCTATTACACAGCTGGAAAAACTAAGGCCCAGAGAAGAACCCAAGGTTGCTCAGGTTGGCTCAAGGCAGAGCTAGAACCAGAGATAGCAGGATCCGGTCTACCTGCAGGAAGAGGAGACAGAATTGGGTTCAAGTCCTTACCATCAGGACCTCCAAGTCAAGTCCTGTTTCAGGAAAAGATACTTCATTTCTCTGAGCCTCAGTTTCTCCATCTACAAAATGGGGGAGAAAATATAAAATCAAAATACCTATTTGAGGGTTGTCATGAGGGAGTGGATGAGAGCCTGTTTTATAAGTTGTGAAGCAAAATTCAGATGCATTATTATTATTTTAACCCAAGTCTCCTGAGCCCCATGATTTAAAGTTCTTGGTTTGTACTTCAATGCCTGGGATGGAGATGATGATCATGGAAGAAGATAAAGATTCCTGGGTTGTTCTCCTACCCAAAGTGAGTGTGGGGTTCTAGGAGAGGGCTTCATATGGGGTACCCAGGAGGTAGAGCTAAGTATTGGGAATGGAGTGCCCTGGTTCCTCCAATCTCTAGTGTCAATTCTGTCACCCCTTTGCATCATGGGCTCTGATTTGGGGTGAGAGCAGAGATATATAGCTGAGGCCCTGATTCACCCGTTTGTTCTGTCTCAACTTGCTCTGCTTGTTTCACCAAACATTACTGAATACTTCCTATAGGCAAGGCCCTAGCTTGGTGTCAAGGATCCAGAGATGGATGAAAGGCACCAAAGAATCAAGATACCCGCAGGGATTGTAAAGATACATCTAAAATATAGTGGCATTCAAGGGCAGGCAATGTTTCACCTACTGGGAACAGAATTACCTCTGAGGGAGTTGGATTAAGTGAGGTTTACATTTTTTACTTGTATAATGTTTGGAAAGGTTTTATGAAAAGTATGTATTCCTCCAAAATCTACCCACTGCTTGGGTTGTTGCTGAAGCTAACCTGTGGGAGAACAGAGTACTGAGAGGTTTTATCTTCTCTTATCCAAGGGCTGGAAGAAAATTGGAGCTGGAGATCAACATATACATTCATCTCTGTTTCAGTAATGTATCACTAATATATGTATCATGAACTGCTCTATTTATTTTGCATATATTTATTCATGAATGTAGTGGGGTACAGTGGTGCACAACTGTAGTCCAGCTATTTGGGAGGCTGAGGCAGGAGAAAGATTGCAAATTTGATCTTAAATTGCCAACTTGGATAATTTAGGCAGACCCTTTCTCAAAATAAAAAATAAAAAGGGCTGGGCGTGTAGTTCAGTGTTGTTAAGTACACATACATTCAATCCCCAGTACCAAAAAAAAAATGTATTTTGCATGTATTCATTCATTTAAACTGTACAATAATCTCACAAGGAAGTTAATATCATCAAGTACAGTTTTTGGGTGAGAAAACTGAGGCACTAGGAGATGAATTAGCTTGCCCAAGATCACATGGCTTACCTTTTCTGAGAACAATTCTCTTAACTGTCCCTATGCTCCCTCAAGGAGGGGAGAGTCAATTCTTCCTCTCTCCCAGCAGGAGGAGCCTTTCCTCCCCTAAGACATCTGGCACCCTTTCCCTCAATGCTTGCTACCAGGGAAGTCTATGCAGGGGATGGGGCTCCTGCCTCTTCTCAGCTGGTGACAGGTAAGTTCCAGTGTTCCTCCACAACACCCCAAGGCTTGGGCTCCTTTGCTCCCTTAGTGAGGAGCCCTAGCCTGGACTAAGAAAACT